TTAGATACAGAGTAAAGCTCCCTCTACACTGTCCCCCATCAAACACTCCCAGCACAGGGACAGCATGGGGTTAGATACAGACTAAAACTCCCTCTACACTGTCCCCCATCAAACACTCCCAGGACAGGGACAGCACGGGGTTAGCTACAGAGTAAAGCTCCCTCTACACTGTCCCCCATCGAACACTCCCAGGACAGGGAAAGCACGGGGTTAGATACAGAGTAAAGCTCCCTCTACACTGTCCCCAGTGAGTCACGCATTGAAGGTGGATTGGTTGAATTGCTACACAGAGAAGGTACATGAGCTCAGTGGGCCGAATAGCCAGCTGTAACTGATTCTGTAAACTTTTGTAGCTGTCCTGCTTCCTGTCAGCATGTACCACCAGCATCTGTCTTTACCTTGACACCTCAGTGTTCTCCCAGGTTTTTCTGTTCTTCCCCAGATATCACCTCTCACTTCCCCAGGTTGAATTCTATGTGTCGCTATTCCACCACCAGCTCTCACCTGTTCCATTTCAATCTGCAATCAGTCTTTCGTTCTCCAGACACCTTGTAGCTGACAATTTTTGCCTGATCAATGCAGATTTTCTAACTGTGTGCCAAAGTAATAGTCGCCCTATTGTGTCCACAGGATGAATCAGCTCCGTGTCTATGTACAGGCTTACATGGTGGCTTACAAGATACTGTGCCCCAAACGAGGGAGCGGGCAGTGACGGCACTGATGCTGCATGTGTTGGTTTGTGGCACGATCACCAGGAAGAGATTCACCACAAGTTTACAGTTAGTTACACAGTCCACATGTATCTCTGTGATCAAGGATTCTCCCACTGAAGCTAGTTAAAGATGATGAAATGTCAGACTGATTCAGCCCATCCAGGTTTGCTGCTGCGTTGCTGTTCACAAATCGGAAAATGTCCTGGGTACATCCCTGTCCACACAAACTGCCAGCTCCATCACTTACTGCTGTTACAACCCTGTTCTTACACAACAGTAACTTACATTTATATTGGGACATAAGAACAAGAGGAGGCCATTCAGCCCCTTGAGTCTGTTCCATCATTCAGTCAGTCCATGGCCTAACTCCATTTCCTGCCTTTGGCCCATATCCCTGAATCCCTTTGCTTACAAAAATGTATCTGTCTCAGGTTTAAAATTAATAACTGATCCAGCATCCACTGCCATTTGTGGAAGACAGTTCCAAACCTCTCCCACCTTTTGTGTGTAAAAGTGCTTCCGAAAATCTCTCCTGAACGGTCTGGCCCTAATTCTCAGACTATGCCCCTCTCCAATCCCCACCTAGTTCTGCAATCCCCAACCAGGGGAAATAGTTTGTCTGCCCTGTCTTTTCCTATTAATATGAATTATAGAATGCATAAGGTATAGGAAGAAGCCATTCAGCCCACCCAATCTGTACTGACCCTCCAATGAGAATTCCACCTAGACACACACCATCCCTGTAATGCTGCATTTCTAATGACTAATCCACCTCACCTGCACATCCCTGGTCACAATGGGTAACCTTCCACAGCCAATCCACCTTACTGGCATATCTTTGGACTGTGGGAGGAAACCCTCACGTACACAGGGAGAATCTGCAAACTCTACACAGACAGTCACCTGAAGGTGGAATTGAACCTGGGTCCCTAGCACTGTGAGGTAGCAGTGCTAACCACTGAGCTAACATGCCGCCTCAAGATAGACTTTGATCTGATCACCCCTAACTTTCTGTTTGTAAAGCATTTGCCAAACAATCAAACTTTCTAAACTGCTGAACATGAGCAATGATTGAACAAACATTGATACCTAAAGATGAACAAAGCTTTTCCAATGACGAAATTGGTTTTGGGGAGCGTGAGGTGAAGGAGTTTGGGCTTTAAGAGAATATTTCAGTGGGTAGGATTCTGGTAACTGAAGACACAACTGAAGGTGGGTAATAGAGACACTCTGCCAGTCCAGGACTTGTCACACCTCTGAACCTTCACTTATACCTCCTTCAGCCCCTCAATCCTTCAACCCTTCGCTCCTCAGGCTGTGGCCTGCACTATATTACTTTCTCTCAATTCAATCATCGAGACCCTAGGATTTCAAAAGAAGAATTAGGAACAGGATGAGGCCATTCTTGTTTACTTTGCCATCCTTGTAGTGATGAACCTGATAGCTGGAAATGTAGCTTAGTCAATGTAAAATGTAAAGACAGTCTGTCAGGAAGAGGGTATGCAGCTTGCTTTTGTATTTGAGAGCTGATGCCAGTCAGATAGCTGTTACTCAGCTCAATCTGCTGTATCAATTCTCTGCTGTTTTACATTTAATAAACTGGATTTGTAATTTACAACCACTCCCTCAGTGTAATATGTTTTATATTTTCTCTGATAGTATAGGGGATCACAGAGAGAATGTGTTAATTCAGGGAGGAGGGAGAGCAGGATTGAACAAGTCAAGCATCCCAAATAACAGCATGATGCCAGAAATGCATACCCCAATGCAAAGGCGATTATTGCAAGCAAATTTCTTCAAAAGGTGCTTTACTGTCTTCACCACTAAAACAACTGCACAGAGCCCAGTAGCCCATCACCAAGTCACCCATTATTTACAAGGTAAGCCCTTGATTCTGGTACAGCCCCATCAGAGCCAGTTCTCAGAGTGAGCAGAACAACTGACACTCCTGTTTATATCTGTCAGCCAGGGCTCCCTGATTGGACCAAGTTAACATGACCTGGGAACTCATATTCTGTGAGATCCACCTGGCAGACCTTGTTACAGTCACTACAGAGGGCTTATTTTTATTTTAATTTTGTCTTTTTAAGAAACTGGGGGTTGAAATGAGAAAGCTGTTTTAAAACGCAGTGTTTGAAAGGATGGCTATGTGTTTTAAAAAGCCAGTAACCTGAGACCCATTACAGGCATTGTCAATAAATGTGGAGCTGGAAAAGCATAGCAGGTCAGGACACGTTGAAGAGCTTTAGGGCTGAGGAGATAACCAGGGGTTTGCAGTGGAAGAGAGACTCACTGAACTCTCTTCGGAGGGGGAGGAAAATGTCTTCAATGTGGACATCCTTAGAAGAGACTTTGCAGTATGGTTTTCAGCGACTTGGAGACAGTAAGGACTGCAGGTGCTGGAAGCTAGAGTCAATAAATGTGGAGCTGGAAAAGCACAGCTGGTCAGACAGCATTTAAGGAGAAGGGAAGTCAACATTTTGGGCTGAAACCCTTCATCAGGACTGTCAGCATTGTGTTCACCACTGGATAAATAGGGATTGGAGGTGGAGCTACAGATAATTTGGAGCCAATGGGGTGGACAGAAGCAGCTTTTGTTCACAACAAGATGTTGATTGGTCTCGGGACTAGTGACCAATTATTGATGACAAAGACCTGCTAACAACCATGTGATTGGTTCTCAGGGAATTGTACTTCTTGAGGCTGCAAACAAGTTAGAGAGAGAAGTGTTCACTTATAAGTAGTCTCTGACTTATCAGTTAGAAGTCACAGTTTATAATAACTGCTGCCGATTTTCTCAGGACAAGAGGGCATAGCCTCAAGATTAGAGGGAGCAGATTTAGGACTGAACTGAGAAGGAATTTCTACACCCAGAGGGTTGTTAACCTATGGAATTCCTTACCCAGTGAAGTAGTTGACGCTACTTCAGTAAATGCTTTTAAAAAAAAGGTAGATTTTTTTGAACAATAAAGGAATTAAGGGAAACGGTGAGAACGCGGGTAAGTGGATCTGAGTCCACGAAAGGATCAGCCATGATCTTATTGAATGGCGGACCAGGCTCGAAGGGCCAGACGGCCTACTCCTGCTCCTAGTTCTTATGTTCTTATGTTCTTAAGGTTTACAGTGAGGTTGACTACAGAGAACAGAGAGAACACTCTTGAGCTGGGAACAAAAGAACTAATGCAAAGTATGAAATCAGATATTCAAAGCTAATATAAGTATATAAAAAGGAAGAGAGTAACTAGAGTAAATGTTGGTCCCTTAAAGGATAAATTTGGGGAGTCAGTGGGGGAAACATAGAAATAGAACATAGAACATTACAGTGCAGTACAGGCCCCTCGGCCCTTGATGTTGCGCCGACCTGTGAAACCAATCTGAAGCCCATTATCATCCATATGTTTATCCAATGACCATTTAAATGCCTTTAAAGTTGGCGAGTCTACTACTTTTGCAGGCAGGGCATTCCATGCCCTTACTACTCTGTGAGTAAAGAACCTACCTCTGACATCTGTCCTATATCTATCACCCCTCAATTTAAAGCTACGTCTCCTCGTGCTAGCCATCACCATCCGAGGAAAAAGGCTCCCACTGTCCACCCTATCTAATGTAAATGACAGAGACACTAAATCAATATTTTCCATTAGTTTCCTTGGTGGACAACACTAGTGTCAATTGTAGAGTTTATAGGAAGGGAGGAAGTTAGAGTATCACCACACAGGAAAAAGTGCTGAACAAACTCTTGGGATTGAGGACAGACAAGTTCTAGTGCCTAGAGAGCTCACATCCCGGGATCTTAAAGGAAGTGCCAAGTTAGAATGTGGATCCATTGGTTACTGTATTCTAAAATTCCCTAGATGCAGGAAAGGTTCCAATGGATTTGAAAATAATAATAAAATATCCTTATTCAAAAAGGGAGGGAGGCAGAAACTACAAAACTACAGACCAGTTAGTTTAACATGTATCTTTGGGAAATTGTTAGAAACTATTACTAAGGAAGTAATTACAGGACATTTGGAAAGTCGAAATACGATCCATCAGAGTCAGAGATAACAACAGTGTGGAGCTGGAGGAACACAGCAGGCCAGACAGTGTCAGAGGAGCAGGAAAATTGATGTTTCGGGTCGGGACCCTTCTTGGCCCATCAGAGTCAGTATGGTTTTATGAAGGGTAAATCATGTTTGACTAATTTGCTAGAGTTCTTTCAAGATGTAACAAGCGGTGTGAATAATGGTGATCCTGAAAATGTAGAATGTCTGGACTTCCAGGAGACACTTGATATGGTTAATACACAAAGTAGGATCACATGGGGTTAGGGGTGATTTATTTGCTTGGAGAGAGGATTGGCTAACTAACAGAAACCTGAGAGTCGGGATAAATGGACGTTTAAATGGGTGGCAAGATGCAACTAGAGGGGTGTCACAGAGTTTGGTCCATGGCCCCCAACTATTTACAATTGATATTGATGATTTGGATGCAGGGACAGAACGTACTATAGGCAAATTTTCAGATTACACTAAAATAGGTGGGAAAGTAAGTTACAATGAAGAAATAAGAAATTTACAACTGGATATGAATAGGTTAAGTGAATGGGCCACCATTTGGCACATAGAGTTTAACGTGGATAAGTATAAGGTCATCCATTTTGGTCAGAGGAATAGAAAGAGTAACTTATTATCTAAATGGAGAGAAACTTCAGAGTTCTTCAGGGCAGAGGGATCTGGGTGTCCTTGTGTAAGAATTGCAGTAGGTAATAAGAAAGGTAAATGGAATTTTGACATTTATCATTAAAGGAATAGACTATAAAAATTAGGAAATGTTGCTGCAACTGTACAAGGCATTACTGAGACTGAGCCTGGAGCATCGCAGAGTTTTTGTCCCTTTACTTGAGGAGGGATGTAGTGAATTTCGAGGCAGTTCAGAGGAGGGTCACTAGATTGATTCCTGAGATGAGGGGTTTGTCTGACAAAGAGAGATTGTGTGGTTTAGGCCTATTCTCTCTGGAGTTTAGAAGAATGAGAGGAAATCTAATTGAGATATATAAGATGCTAAAGGGAATTGATAAAGTAGACATAGAGAGGATGTTTCCTCATTGGGACAATCTAGAATAAGAAGTCATAGTTTTAGGACACGGGCAGGCAGATTTAAAACAGACATGAGGAGAAATTACTTCTCTCAAATGATTGTGAACATAGAACATAGAACATTACAGCGCAGTACAGGCCCTTCGGCC